TGCCTTCATATTTTCTTAGGAAAAGATTTGTGAACCATTTTAAATCAATGTTAAGAATTTCTAAAAGCAACTAGATAAGAGCTTCTCATATACTTTAGTTATTTATGAAAATATATCTACAAATACTTAAGAGTGCCTGACGCATGGTACAGTGAACATTAGCTGTAAGTTGTAGTAGTCGTAATTAGTAAACTGTGTACTATTTGGGGGGGGGGGAATACATTCTGTACATTCTATTTCATATGTCCTTAGATTTAAGGTAGTTTCATGTGAAGCTGCAGGTTAATTTTGGCTTAATTGAAGAGTATTAGTTGTTGCATTTTAACGCTCACGCATATGATACACAGTAGTAACTTCACGCTCAGAGATCATTGCAGATTACCCAGGTATAAAGTGATCCTTCCAGGCGTCTGTCCTTCTCTCAAGTGATAATTCTGCTGAGAGTTGCATGTTATCTTTTTTCTCTTTTTCAGATTGACCTCTAAATTTCATGTTTCCTCTCGTTTGTAAATAGTGCCAAAGATCTTTAGAGACTCAGGCACTCAGTGCTTGGCACAGTCCCATTCAGAGTGATCTGCTGTGCCACGCTGGGTGCAGTTCACGTTTGTGTTTCATAAAAAGCCACCTCTTTGTGGGGTGGGTACATCCCGTGAGTTGCTCCTAAGTAGCTAAAGTCAGACATATGGCTTTGGAGAAATGAATTGTATCAGTGGTTATTTCTTTTTTTTCTTTCTTTTTTTTTTGTGGGGGGAGGGAATAGAGACAAAGTTTCACTTGCCCTTGGTAGAGTGCTGTGGCATCACACAGCTCACAGCAGCCTCCAGCTCCTGGGCTTAGGTGATTCCCTTGCCTCAGCCTCCTGAGTAGCTGGGACTACAGGCACCCACCACAACACCCGGCTATTTTTTTTTTGTTGCAGTTTGGCCGGGGTTTGAACCGGCCACCCTCAGTATATGGGGCCAGCACCCTGTCCACTGAGCCACAGGTGCCACCCTAGTGGTTATTTCTTTTAATTATATTTTGTGCGATAATATCTTTTTGGGGGGTGGGGGGAGAACAGAGTCTCATTATGTCACCCTCGATAGAGTACTGTGGCATCACAGCTCATAGCAACCTCAAACTCTTGGGCTTAAGCGATTCTCTTGCCTCAGCCTCCCAAGTAGCTGGGACTATAGGTGCCCACCACAATCCCTGGCTATTTTTTTGTTGTAGTTGTCGTTGTTTAGCTGGCCAGGGCCGGGTTCGAACTTGCCAGCCTGGGTGTATGTGGCCAGTACTCTAACCACTGTGCTATGGGCACAGAGCCTATATAATATCTTTTCATTGATATTTATGTATACTAATATATATTTGGCAAATTTATAGAATATTTTTATTCTCAGGATCAACATTTATGCCCCCAAATATATTTTATTTCATATATATTATTATTTAGGCTATTTATATTTGAGTATCTATAATTGAATTTCAGCACATGCACTCTTTTCTCGTCCCTATTAAAATACTTTTTATTATGTCACCATCAGTCTCATGCTAATGCGCCCAGACCCCAGGGGCCTTTACAGATAACTTCTTGTGAATTTGCAATTATTTATTTCAATTGAAAATGTATTTTTAGAAGCATTATGGGGCATTCCACTTCTTGATTTCTGCCTTTCTTGGACAATTTTTACTCTCTTTGTTGTTCATCTCAATTATTATTTTAGACCCTATAAAATATCCATTGGTCTTGAAAAATCCATGTTTCACGTGGTCTGTGTAGTCCTCGCTGGAGGAAAAGGGTAGTGTTTTGAACTGCTGACTGCATTAAACTTCTCACTTGCTGGGGCTGTATCAAAGTGTTGATTCGTGAACAAAAAGTAAACTCTCTGATTGAGGAAAAAAGCAATAAAAAGTTACTTACTATCTCAGTGGTGATAAGTATTATAAAGAAAAAGTAGGATATTGGGTAAAGAGTGAGGGGGGAGGGGCTGCTGTATCAGTAGGGTGGCCCTAAAGGCCTCTTGTTATCAAGACAAAGTGGGGAGCAGACTGGGGAGAGTTTCAGCAGAAGGAGCAGCAAGCGGGAACCCCCTGTGTATTCAAGAAAGTTTGAGGGGATCTCTGTGACCGAGCACAGGCGAGAGGAGATGGAGTCTCCAAGGAGTCAGGGCCTCAGAGGACAGAGCAGCAGAGCGAGGTGATTGGATTTGTGGTTGGAAAGCCTCACTCTGCACATGTGGTCAGGCTGAAAACAGAGATCAGGGGCTTTAAACTGATCCGATGATGACCATCTCAGGGAGAAATACATTTTATCTCTTTACTCAATTCCACTTAATTCTTCTTTCACTCACTTAATAGGCAACGTTCTCTCTGACTTCACAGAGCTTCCCTCTGGTTCATCTCAAAGAGGACAACTGTTCTAACGTGAATATAACAAAAGCGTCCTCTCCAGGTTACTGTCCCCGAAATGCTGTCCAAGTGGCATGTCCTCTGCACAGTGAACTGGAGACCGAGCTGCCACTTCCAGGAGGCTCAGCACACATGAACCTTGCTCTGAGCCCCTGAAATTTTAGAGGAATTCAAGACTTGCATGTGTGATCTGGTCAGGACTAGATTATATGATTAAAAACTGTCCTGGACCCTCGTCTTCCATCCATTCATACCTTCATGGGTGGAGATAGGTAAGGCACGTCTCACCATCCCTAATCTAGACGGCCTCCAAATGGAGACGAGGAAGCCTGGGATGTGGTGGGCGCTGGGAGCCTCCGCGGTGAATAGCTCAGTGCAGCCAGTTCCAAGAGTGGATCCTTGTGAAGTGACCACATACCTGCCACTGATTTCTTACCATAGCTAAAGGGATAAGAAGTTTAACAAAGAAAATGGGCAATGTAACAAAAACTCCTTAGGTCCTACTCTCACTATGGTTTTATCAACACACAAACATTTTACCTATGTTTTGTTCTGAAGAGAGTTCTTTTGTGGGTAATTACATTCAGTTTTGCAGAAGAATTTTGGCAAGATAGTTATTAATCTGTGCAAATAATAGGTAAAAAAAAAAAAAACTACCTTTTTCCTTCTGTGGCCCTTAACCTGCACAGAACAAATATTCATTGGAACATTTGTCAGATACTATATTCTGGGTTACTCTACCAGGACATAAATTATAGGTGGCTGTGGATACAGATGTAAATATAGGCCTATACGGTGATGATCAATACTTAAACCATTGTAATGATCAAATAGCAAAACAGTACATGTTTTTGAATTCGTCATTTTCATTTTCAACAAATGAACAATGATAGGTTTGGGTTGCTGATTCCACTCTCTCTACTGAGGTAGGATATAATGACGCTGTGGACAGAAAAAGTTTTGAGAAAAGGGCGGCGCCTGTGGCTCAAAGGAGTAGGCTGCCGGCCCCCTATGCCAGAAGTGGCGGGTTCAAACCCAGCCCTGGCCAAAAACTGCAAAAACAGAAGAAAAAAAAAGTTTTGAGAAACTAACTTTTTACTTACTACTTAATAGTGAGAGAAGATGTGTGTTTTAGGAGCCCTCTGTAGCTTTCCTCCCTGAACCAATATACAAAGAGGACCGCGCCCTTCTTGAGCACAGCAAAACCACCCCCCAGGATACTGCCAAGTGGAGTCTTGTGTGGTACCAAAAATGAAGCATTTATCTCCACTAAGTGGAAGAGTCAGCCCTTGGATGCAGCTTAGGGATAGGACAGAAATACTGTTTAATCCATTACTTGGAAATAAACAACAAACAAAAAATATTAAAACGTAATAACTTACCTTCCAGCTTTATGAGATGTATGTGAACGTCATAGTGTCTGATAATGCCAAATGACCTTGTTGGAGCGTCCCTGGTTTCAGAACGCTCCCACTTACAAACCTCTTGTAATTTCAGAAGTGCTGCCCCACCCCTCGTAGTCTTTGCTCTCTATCTACCCCAAGGAAGCGTTAGATGAGATTTTTTTTTCTGTCATATCTTACTCCCCTTTCCCCCTTAAAAAAATAGTAACAGGAAAGTTAGGCTGGCGGTTTGGAACGAAAGGAGGAAGAAGCAAAGAATGTGTCATAGGATTGATGCAAAACCCTCGTGACCACTTGGTATCTGGACAACTCACCCTGAGACAGCAGAGCCAGATAATGGGAAAGTGTATTTGAAACTCTCTGGAGATACAAAGTCATTCCTTATTTACCCTTCTAATAATTGTTTTTCTTAACCTTCAGGCCCTGGGCATATACATGCAGGTATGAAATCAGTATGACAAAGCAAAGATCAGGAATTCAGAAACTTAATCCAGTCATGAAAAAAAGAAAAATAATACATCAGCCTCTTACAACCTTCAGACTATCCTCTCTAAATCTTACTTTTATGCAATGCAAAATAAGTACCAAATAGGTTTATTCATACTGCGGATGGCCACAGCTATCATTTAGATAAACTGACAAATAGAAAATTCAGGGAATTTGCAGAATTACTTTTTTTTGGTGGATAACTTTCCAATTTCATTCTACATTACTGATAAGTACTTAAGCATAAATTTACACAGCCTTTTTATGATTGTTCCACGAGGTGTATTTCCTTCCTTAATACTGTAATAAACCATGAGACCGTAACTACATTGACTAGTAAGCCTTTTCATCTTTTCCATTTCTGTTCAAACAGAAATATTTGAATTACAGCTATGGTAGCAAAACTGAGTTTTTATATTTAATCTTTGTGTACATTGGACCCTATTTCCTGTTCTAAAAATTCAAGGGTATTTGTTATTGTAAGTTGTTTTCTGTTGAAAATAATTATTAAGAGGCCTGAGTGATATTCTATGTCATTTTTCTTTTAGCTAATTTTTAAGAATTACTGAAACATTGTTGAAAGGTCTTAATATCTTTATTATCAATGTATTTATTTAGACGTTTATATCGGAGCTGAAATATGTTGCTATCCACGTCCACGTGCTGGTCATCTCACCTGGCTTTTTGTTTTTGTTGTTGTTGTTAAAATGCTCAATGCAGGTTCTACATGGTCAGCTATTATGAGCGGAATCACAGAATAGCAGTGGGAGCTCGCCATGGTTCAGTGGCCCTGTACGACATCCGGACTGGAAAATGTCAGGTAAATAAATCATTGTGACTTCCTCTCCATAAAGTGTGGAAGTTATTGAAAGGAGAGAGAGACTAGCACTTTACCAGTTGACGTGCTGAGCTGCTGGAACATTATGGATAATGCTAAAGGGATCAATAGTTTAATGAAGTACTCAAAGAATATAGAGCCCCACTGTCTTTATTCGCTGGGCCTGAAGGGCTGCCACAGACGAGTTCAGAATAGAGCCCAGAGTAAGGTGGCACTGCTCACAAACTACTCTGTAGGCTGTCTTAAAGGAAAGTTTTCTGATTTCGTCACTTATTTTTGTCCCTTATTTTCCAAAAAGTTTGATGGTGCACCGTTATGATGTAATGGTTAAATAAAAATTAATGTTTGCTCTAAGTAAAACGAGGTATCTAGTATTTGTAGGATATAGTTCAGAAAAAGAAGAAATCACAATAGCATCTAGAGCTCTATCGGAAGGAAATTGGTGCTCTATTTGAGACGATATATTATTAATACTTTTTACGCTTTGATAACAATTTACTCTGAAAAATTATCTCTTGATTCTGATCTTGATCATCTGGTTCTCAACATATAGCAGTTGGCTGGATGGGGCAAGTCTAGGCCCACTTTAGATGTAAGAGAATTGAAACTCAGAGCTTTAAATCACTTTATCCTAGAGTCACACTGTTAGTGACAAAACCAGGCGTAGGCTGCACCATGATCCTAGTAAATTTATAATGTTCTCTGATGATTAGTTCCAAACATAGCTTCTAATATTTCACTGCAGCATTTGTTAAGGCTGATATATTCAGTCGTATTACCATATTAGGAATTTCCAGAAGGAATATGAAGAAATTCATAAGGACGTGGCTAAGATTTTAAACTGTCTCTTAAATTGAATAAACTATTGAGTAATTCTCCAAACGCTTTCCTGGGTTCTTCCCATGCAGCAGTTCTAGGAGATGGTGACAGATGTTGGGAATGAAAGTTTCACGGGTCAATCAGACAAGCTCAGGGATACCAGTGAAAGTTTAATACACTGCGTTGCACAGGTCTTCTCGGAGTCTCTAGTGTGTGAATGCGCTTTGTGCATTTCCTGGGAGTGTGTGGCGTACGCACCATTTGCCGTATTTATTTGGCTATCAAATTTTGTTTGTGTGTGTGATGTCAAAAGACATTAACTCCCTCTGGCAACCATATTCTTTTACTCAGGGCTCTCACTGAGAGCGATGAAACCACTCTGAATACTTGTTTGAAAATTAAGTTACGTGATGATAACATGCTTTCACAACAGACTCATCCAAGAGCATTTTCAGATCCTCTTGTTACGACAGTTTTTAAAAATTATAGTATATTACTGCAGGCTGACTTGAGAGAAATAAATCACAGACATGTACAACGGTAAGACAAAAAAAAATAATAGAAGGAGGGGACCTTGTCAAGCTTCTTTAAACATGAAGGGAGGAAATTATAGAGAGGACTCTTCTGATATGAGACACAGTTGCCAGCAGTGGAGAGAAGAGGGAGGCGGTATGAACGCAGCGAGGCGACTCCAGGATGAGAGAGACTAGCAATTGAGAATTAA